CCATACCAAACTCTGCTCTAGTCTCCATTCTCTAATCCATCATTTACACTGCTGCTAATTATTACTATTAATAATTATTGGAAGCGAGAATGGCCAGACTTCGTCTCACCTACTTTGGTCATGTTGTCAGAAGGAACCATTCCCTGCAGAAGGATGTCATGCTTGGTAAAGTGGAGGGTCGATAAAGAAGGCAAAGGCCCTCAACAAGATGGACAGACACAGTGGCTGCGGTGATGGGCTCAGGTATAGCAAGGATCATGAGGCTGACACAGGACTGGGCAGTGTTTCATTCTGCTGTGCATAGGGTCGCTATGAGTTAGAGACAACTCAACAGCATCTAACAACAACAACAACAATTACTGTTCCTGTCTTGAGATCTAATCTCTTTCCTTCGTTAACCTTTCTTCAAAATCTTTTTGGCTTCCCAAAATCTTCAAGATGAAATCTAAGCTTCTTAGTCTGACATATAAGACACTTCACAATTTTGCTGTACCAATTTTTCCAATTTCACCTTTGTTAATGGAATGATGAAATCAAATTCCTTTTAACTTTGCCTCTAATCCCTTTAATTCCTTCTTCCTTACTAATTCATCATCTGAAATTCCAACCAGTTTTCTATTCCCCATCATGTGGTCATCTCCAGAAAGTGCTAAAATTGTTGACTGCTTCAAGTTACCATCAATAATTCCTTTTCCTCACTCTGGTAGGTTTCATCCTTTGAGCCCTGACCTACTGCAAAAGACCGCAAGTTATTCCCTCTAGCTTTCTTATTAATAACCCTTTTGTATATTCTTGTAAACTAGCCTGTAACCCCTTTTCTTTGTCATGAGGATTAAATTCCTGGGAGGTCATTTTCTTTATGGCAGTCACATCACTTGTGTTCATCTACCTCTTAATCCGAGAATTTTAGAGCTGAAATGAAGCTCAATTGTAACTTAATTGAGTACCTTTTCCTATGCATAAATGCCTGATATAACTCTGACCAAAAAAAAAAAAAAAAATTCCACCCTCTTGAGTATCTCCAGAGCTCTGGTGGCACAGTACCTAAGGCATTTGACTGTTAACCAGAAGGCTGGCAGTTCAAACCCACCAGCCACTCCACAGAAGGAAGACTGGACAATCTACTTCCATAAAGATTTAATGTCTTGGAAACCTAAAGGGGGTCGCTATGAGTCAGAATCAAATCAATGGCAGAGAGTTTGGTTTTTGTGAGTTCAACATCTCCAGAGACAGAGAAATCATTACTCTTGAGAATGTCTATCCTTATCTTTAGGTGTCTCCAATTGTTAATAGTTTTTTCCTTCACACTGAGATGGACTACCCCTTGTAACTTGCACTTCTGGTTCTAATTTTACCTAACCACACAAGGTAAATTTCTAACACCCATTTTACATAGTTTTCCTTCATCTATTTGAAGATACTTTCCATGTTCCCTGTTCTAAGTTCTCTTTCCGTAGACCAAATCCTCCCAGTTCCTCCAACTATTCCTCATATAAAATTGAATGACCTGAGCCACTGGTTCATGGAGGCTGTAATTAGCACACTGTGGTCTCAGTTCTCTTCCCCCTGAGGTCCTCACCTCCTTGGGGATGATCTCTGAAATCAGGTTGCTCTCCTGGTCCCATATAAAAAGAATACCTAACAAATAAGGCTTGGAGAATATAACAACTAAACAGATTTTTTAAAACTGTGAAAGTATTTTTTAAAATTTTTATAGAGGTGTGTCAAGGCAAAGAAGACTCAGGATTTTGAAAGCTCTAAGTACTTTTAGAATGTAAATACAGTATGTTTTGCACCCAGAAAATTCTCAGGTTTCATGCCAACCCTTTAAATAAGTAACGCAACTAGTATGGCCCTAAAAACTATAAGACAAATGTATCATGCTTTGAACATAACAGAATTATGTGATTCCCCTCTGTAGTGCAATGGGTTTCTCATATATATATGGCCTTTCTGGCCAACAATGATTGACTAAGCCATAATCTAACAAGGGATTGGTTAGTCTACTGTGCAAACAGAGTGTATAAAACCACCCAGTAGAATTGTGGAAACTGTCAATTACTATGCAAATTAAGTGTCAGTGCCCCACCAAGGGGACTGGTCAGTTCATGGTCTAGTGGGAGGATCATACCTTGAAACTGACAAGAAGTAGGCTTACATAAGGGTCAATTGCACAGAAGTTGAGGGGATCTCACTATCAACAGAAGAGCCTAGAGCTGAGCACATCCTTTGGACCCAGGCCACCTGTGCTAAAAAATCTCCTAGACACAGTAAAGAGAGAGCTCTAACACTGACAACAGCGAGAGATGGCATGAGATGGTTCAGCAGCACAAGTGGCAGGAACCAGGAGACTGGTGCCAGGTAGCTGCTGTGACTTATCACCTATGGAGCAAGAGAGAGCTGAGTGCCTTCGGGCAGGAGAGTGCTGAATGAGTAGGGTACCTTCAGGCATTTGTCAGAGGAGCTAATGAGTTCTAACACTTGCCTGGCCTGTGGGCACAGCTGAGAGAAGAGCTATTTGCCTCAAGGGACAGCTGAAAGAAGCTGAGAGCTATCTTGGTTGGAAGCTGTCCTGATTGAAGAACTGTATACTGTCTTCTGAGTTGTATCCTGTTACATCCAAGTTGATCCTGATCTCCAGTTGTAGCCTGTTACTTCCCTAATAAACCACATAATCATGAGTATGATCTGTGTGGCCACTGCTACAAATTAGCAACCCAGCAGAGAAAGTAAAGAATGTCGTGGGGGAGGCAGGCAGATGGCTAGTATTAGCAAGGGTGAAAAAACTGGATAGTGGGAAGTATGTCTAATCTCTACCTCACAGGAATCAGGTTTGAACTGATCGTGATTCTCACCCTTCCTCCTGAATGCAGACAAGGGCTGATGCTTGTAGATTACAGCCTCCTTAAGAATCCTAGCTTGTACCTGTTTAGCTCATGGATATGCGTCTTCTGCTGTGATGACTTTTGATTTGTGGCCTCCTCAGTTATCTTATGCAGTTCTTTTTAGAGTACCACTGATTTTGTTTATCATCTTTCCTCCCACCTGCACCTTCCTTTTACCCACTTCTCAGCTGCTGGCCTCTTTTTGTCCTGAGAATCCTATATTCACACAAGTTGCTCTGTATGTTTTGATTTAGAGGAATGCCCTTCATATACTTCAGCACATCCCCAGAGGACGAGGCTTTCATTCTATTCATTTCCCCACATTTCCAGAACCACTGGGACCAAATTATTTAAAGTGGTTCTTACCTGGCCTTCTTTTCCTCCACAGGCAATTACTTCTCTGAAAATGGCTGCACTGGCCAAATAACTTCACAATTAGCTAATTGCAGGTTCAATGAGCCACTTGTTCCTCCAAACTTGGCCATTAGAGATGTATGATTAAGCAGAAATTTATCTTTTTATTCCCCCCTGGTTTACAGAGGCACAGCAAATCCCAAATCTGGTTTCCCTGTGCTCATTTACAATGCTAATATAAGCCTTCTACTTTTTTATTTCCTTCTTTTACACATCATAGCTGTTACACATTACATATTGGACCCAAGGATTATGTATTTTAATTAAGTCAACCCTCTGACAATGCAGACCGTTATTACCTTAATCCATTTTGCAAGAGATAAAACTAAAGCAGCAGAGCAGCTGGTTTGCCAAAGTCTCATAGTCGTGATAGGGACTAAACCTAAAAATCTTAAATACTAAATGTCACTTTCTGCTTGGGGATTCAGGTTATCACACAGGGTGAAATCAACCTTCCACCTCATTTGCCTTTAAAAGAAAGCACCCATAACTGTTCTCCCAAATTGCTGTCTCTTGGTTTCATGGAAGCTACAAAAAAGGTAATTCCTTTTGAAAGATGGCTTAGGTATGTATTCTGAACTACATACTGTACTTTATTTTCTTAATTTCCATGCATTTTATTCTTATTGTCTTTTTCAACATTTGTAGAGCATGGGGTATGTGCTCAATAGTCAGTTTTACACAGAAGCTCATCCCCCCCCTGACATTCCGCCAATCCATGAACAAGGAGAAGTGGCCAAAAGTAATGGGTTTTCATTTCTGAAGAAATTAATATTAATAAGGATTATATATTTGCTTTGAGAGTCAGACACTTTTAGGTTTCAAGAAATGTGCCTTGCAATTAAACACCAGCATATTTCCCAAAGAGCTTTCTTCATTGAGCACATCTTACTACTAAACTCTTTAGCTTATAGTCATCTTTCTTTTAACTGTCTTAAGTGGGGGTAATTGGATGGGAAAAGTCTCCTGCAGTTACAGGAGACTCCAACATACTAAAAGCCAACGCAACCACTGCCATGGAGTTGGATCTGACACATAGTGACCCCTCCTTGGGTTTCCAAGGCAGTATCACTACAGAAGTAGATTGTCCAACCTTTCTTCCAGAGTAGAGTCTCTACCCTGATTCAAAGGCCTCTTGCATATTCTCTAACGATTAGCATACAAAAAAAAAAAAAACAAGTAACAGGAGAGAGGATAACAGAGGAATCAGAGTTAAAAGGAAAAGTGGAAGAAAAAGGGAAAGAAAACTAAGAAAGCAAAAGAAGCTTTCAAGATAATGCTAAAAAGGGGGTCATAATCAACAACCAAATCCGCTGCCATTGAGTTGATTACAACTCATAGTGACTGTATAGGACACAGTAGAACTGCCCCATAGGGTTTCCAAGGCTATAAATCTTTATGGAAGCAGATTGCCTCATCTCTCTCCCACAGAGTGGCTGGTGGGTTCAAACGCTGGATATTTTGGTTAGTAGCCAGCTGCTTTAACCACTGCACCTTCAGAGCTCCTATGCGGACCATAGCCTCCAAATAACAAGACATTGTAAATACAGCCACTGCTCATAAAGAACATATACTAAAATGGGTGTGCCTGCACACAAAAGGAAAAGACTGTGCATGCAGCCTACTGACACACACAGGTAAAGTGAGAAGGATGCAAACAAGCAGTCTAAGATGAAAATGCTGCAAATGGTTTACACTTACCCAACACCAGCAATTCCACCGAGTCCTCATTTTTGCCCTCCAGATCATCAGGGGTGGTGATAATGCAGTAATAGAGCCCACTGTCTCCCCACAGGAGTTTTCCAATTTGAAGATCTGCATCTGTTATCACAAAAAGAAGGGCCCAGTCCTAAAACTCTGTCTTCTGAAAGGAAAACATTGAACATTGTTCTATTTCTTTACCTGGATGGTGGTTGAAAAGGTATTTGCTTTATTTAAAACAAACAAACAAAAAACAGTAACAAAACTAGCATCCCTAAGGCTGGAGAATTAGAACACAACCAGAAACTGGTCTAGTTTTAGTCTAGTTTTAGGAGTCAGAGATGGATTTGAACCATGCCTATAAAGGCACCTGAGAGCCAGGTAAATTCTAGACTAACTATGGAGTCCTGGAAGTGAGCTGACTTCACAGGACTGTACAAATATTCAGATGATGCAACAGATCACGTCAGTCTCTTGGGACCTTTTTCTGATCCAAAACTTTAGGAGCAGGAGAAGGGTGGAACTGATGCAAAGCTGTCTGGTTCTTGGCAGTGGCATTGACCTGACTCTACAACTTATATGCACACATCCCTTCTCCCAGAGGAGAAAAGTCTTTAGGGAAGTATACTTTCTAGGCTTGGGAAATAGCCATAAAGGCTGATGTCAAAGCAAAGGATGTCTGGCTAAAGAAGTATTTCACTTCTCACATTGCAGTTCAGTTCTGAAAACAAGCACATGAAACTCAAGGTTAGGCTCTGAATAGACCAATTCCGAAGCTTAACTCTATATCTTCTCCAGATACACACTCTCCACCATCACTGTCCCAACTAAGCTATGTGCTAAGTGTCTTGATGCTCCTGTCTCCCATAAAATCAAAGTCTTGAGGGGTTAGAAAGTGAGAGGCTGTCATCCCCTTGTCCTGAGAATATGGAACCAACCTCTTCCTGTTCCCTAGATTCAAACCAGGAGGCATTATTACCATGAACAATAGTGATCTCTCTGCCCCTGTAGAAATCTCCCAGGGTGACGGTAGAGCCCTGTTTTGAAGCCACCACTCGAACAGTCCGCCTGCTGTCTAAACAATCCAAGTAGGGATCCCATTCCAGGTTTCTCTTGCTGAGAGACTGGGCCCGGGGAGAGGCCATGCCCAAGGATTCTCCCATGCGATCCTGGCAGTAGGACTTGAACTTCCACTGCACGACTGCAGGCTGATGGGAGGATGTGGAGAAGTGGCAGCGAAGCACAGTGGGCTGGAAAAGCATGGCTACTTTCTTCTTTTCAGGAACTGTGACCTGAAGGCCTTCAGTCATGGCTGCAAAACAGAATCAGCATATCCAAATAGTATCCATATCCTCAACTTCACCTCACTGCACAGGGTCATTCCTCCACCTATCTTCCTAGACTGTTCCTCCTCCCATTTTCTCCATTACAATTAATGGCATCAATAACCATCTGGTTGTCATGCCCCCAAACCTACCCTTACCCCCATATCTAATCAATCACTAAGTCATGTTAACATGATCTCTTAACATCTTTAATATTTTTCCCTTCATCATCAAGCCCACCACCATTGCTTTTGTTAATAACCCAAACCCAAACCAAACCAAACCCACTGCCATTGAGTCAATTCCAACTCATAGCGACCTTCATTGGTTTTCCAAGGTTGTAAATCTTTATGGAAGTAGATTGCTTCATCTTCCTTCCATGGAGCAGCTAGTGGGTTTGAATTGCCAATCTTCTATTTAGCAGTCAAATGCCTTACCCACTATGTCACCAGAGCTCCTTATTGCTTTTTTTCAGGCCTTTTTTCTTTATTGCAGTATTATAGTAATATCTTGTCTGGTCTCCCTGCTACAGTCTACCCCATCCCATACATTCTCTTTACTGTTCAAGTGATCTTTCCAAATCTGTCTGGTATAGCTCTCCTTCTTAAGTCCTTCACTCATCCTCCATGGCCTCTGAGATAAAAATCTAAGGCTCTTGGCAAGGCATCCAAGGCATTCCATCATCTAGCTCTTATCTCTACAGCCTTACTGCTTGCAGCATTTCTATTTGAACCCCAGCCTCCACGAATACCAAACAGTTCAAAGTTTCCCCATTAGGCCATGCTATTTCACCCCTCTGTGTCTTTGCATATGATGATAGCTGTTTCTGGAATGTTTTCTCCTCACATCTTTCCTTGGAAAACTTTTTCCCATTTTTCAAAACCAGTTCAGAGCCTTCTTGTAACCTCTCTGACCAGTCAATAAGAGTTCATCACTTCCTCCTTTGTGCTATCAGCATACAGAACATTCTCATCTAGACATTTATTATAGTAATATTTGAAGTATTTATTTCCATGCCTGTTACCCCTATCAGACTTGTTAGGCAATGCCTGTGTTTTATTCATCTTGCTATCCTGGCTTGTGAAACACATAGGTGCTTAACAAATAATTGATAAATAATGACCATGAAGCCAGCAAGTATGACTTCAGGAGAAAGTGACTTCCCTTCTAGCTGGTGACCAAGAGAAGGGGACAGAGATGAAGGGGAAAAGAAGGCTTTGAGAAAAATGGAAAATTTCATATCAAAAGCAGTAGACTTCATCTCAAAAGCTCTGAAGGGTAATCAAAAAAGAAAGAAAAGGGCTATATAAAGCAGATGAGAAGTTTAAGTGGTGAAAGGAGCCAAACCTAGGTTTGATGTCCAAGAAAGAGAGGGAAATTTCAATGAATGGAGGAACAGGGAATGTTTGAGAGACAAAGGGCCTATAAGAACTCAATAGTAAGATCTGGAAATTCCAAGCAAAGAAGACATAACTTCCTTCATGAATGGGAGAGTCAAGAGAGCTTAGCTTTTCTGAGGTTAGAAGCAGAAATAGAATTAGGATCAGAGGCGGGAGAAAGTCTGAATAGAAAGACATGGTAAAGAGGTTCTGAACTGAGTCCAGGAGCCTGCCAAATCAGCTTCAGTTAGCTTGAGGTAGAGAATTTCCCTTAGAATCACAGGGTAGACTTGAGACACACAAGAAAGGACAACTTTCCTTGGGATGTCTCCTGTCCTTCATTACTACTGATGCTTACAATGACATCCTGCAGAGCAAACTCACTCCCACAGCTTTTTTGTTGTTGTTGTTGTTAGGGACATCAAGTAAATTTTTGACTCTTAGTAATCCCATGTGACAGAACAGAATTGCCCCATAGGGTTTTCTAGACTGTAATCTTTACAGGAGCTGATGGCCAGGTATTTCAGCCACAGAGCCACGAGGCAACTTTGAACTGCCAACCTTTCAGTTAGCAGCAGAGTGCTTAGCTGTTGTGCCACCAGGGCTCCTTCTCACAGCTCTAACATACACTTAGTTATGAATCTGCCTCTTTACTAAAGTGCTTGACAAGTATTTGTCCTTAGGTCTGATTTCCAGACCAGTGCCTCTCGTCAGTGAGACTCTGCCTATAAAAAACTAGGTTTTAATTCCTGTTTGGAGGAAAAGGTTTCTACATTTTGTATAATTTACAAGTGAATGCAACAGTACCTGAGATTTATCAGTGGAGTGTTTTGGACCTAATGTGCTCAATAGCGATCTATGGGAGACAAGAAAGAATGGTTAAGCAACTGAATGACTAGTGATACGGGAATTTCTAGGACTTTGCAGAGGAAACTGGTTAAAGGAGTCATAGACAGCATGCATAGTAAAATAGTTTTGGCATCAACTAGGCAAGGCTTTGAATCTCATCTGGTCACATACTAGCTGTGAAGCTTAATGAAGTCTCTAGGCTCTCCGAGACTCATTTTTCTCACCTGTAAAATATGCATCATAATCCTTACTCACAGAGCTGTTAACAAATATACCATTGGGCACCTACAGAGAGTAGATTTGAGTAGACCATGGTCTCTGGTAAAGAGTAAAGTCTCAACTATTAACTCTCCATCACCTTTTCTCCCTTTCTCCTCATCTCTCATTCCAAGGCTCCTGAATCCTGAAGATCATCCACCATCAACAGATTTCACTACAGCCAGATTATGTTGATGAGCCCCATCATCAAAGGGAAACAATGCCCATTCGGAACTCAATGAAGAACACCCAGTTCCCAGGCTCCACTGCTTCTGGCCATATCCCTTCACCTAGCCCAAATGTCACGTGGCTAATTCCATTCTCCTTGATGCACACAGTTGGATTAGCAAATTTCTTCTTTGTATCTTCTCCTTAAATTCTATTGCATTCATTTTTTAAATTAATTTTAATTCTTCAAATCCTCATTTTCACTCCTGTTTTCTAGGTAACAAAAATGGAACAGAGAGATGAAGTGAATTCAATTAGCAGTAGCTGAAGTTGGGGAGGCAGTCATTTTTCCTAGTACAATGCTGTGTACTTGACCATACCACCTTTTCTGCTCAACTACCTATTCAGGCTGTGCTTGGAAAATCATATTTCTTAGCCTTTCTAGGATAAATAAAACCAGCAAAGAAGGCAGGTGCTACATGACAAAGTGTAATGTTTTTTTCTTTTTTTAAGAGTTAAGTATGGGGTTTTGTTCATTAGATGGTTACTAAGAAGAACCTCCTTCTAGCTGTTCTCCATTAAAATGAGATGAGCCACTTGGGAAAGTCATTGGACTGACTTAGTCAATTATTAATAGAGGTTATTCAATTCTCAATTTCTTCCATGACATAGAGATAAACTTATGCTCTAAGGAATAAGGAATACACTCTCAGAAACATCTGCCTTTTTGAAGCATTAGAAACTAAATTCTATCGCATCTTTGCTGTAGGACCTCAGATAAATTACTCAGTTCTTAAGAGTTTCCGTTTTCTCACTGCTAAAATTAGAAAAACAGTAACTACCTTATGGAATTGTTTGAGGGTTAAATGAGATTTCCTCCTAAGAACTTAGGATAACACCTTGTATACAGTAAGCGCTCAATAAATGTAGTCATTTGTTTCTGCTAAGACCAGTCTGTTGACTTCTTTGAAGCTATGAACCTACAGTTAGGGAATCGCAGATAACAGGGTGTGAGACACTGAGTGTGTGCAGAGGAGAATGGATAGAAACTGCTCAGAGTGCTAGAATATGTAATTAGGAGTTCAACAGTGACAGTGCTTGGTGTGTTCACCATTGCACAATCACAGATGAACCTCCTGGAAGTCAGAGAAAGTGCGCTTGTGTGTGTGTGCTTGCACACACACAGGCATGTGTACATGTAAAGGTATAATGGGGAACCCTGAGACTCTAAGCTAAGGATAGATCTGGATAGATCGAGAGGATTAGACTAGAGATTCCAATGAAAGGTCTGTTTGTTGGATTTTGAAGATGACAAGAGTGAAGAGTTAAAGTTGAAAATGTCAATCCCTGCTTCAACTCTAAAGGCTTCAAACTGTAGGATGAATGCTACACAATTCATGAATCTACCCTGACCGAGTATATTGTTGTTGTTATGTGCCATTGGGTTGGACCTGACTCATAGCAACACCTCCTTGGGTTTCCGAGGTAGTATCACTACGGAAGTAGATTGCCCAACCTTCCTTCCAAGGACTGGCTGGTAGGTTTGAACTGCCAGCCTTCTGGTTAGTAGTCAAGTGCCTTAGGCACTACGCCACCAGAGCTCCTACCAAGTATATTAGGAACTCATTTCTACTAGAAGGTGGGGTCTGGAATTGGTCTTCTGGCCCGACACATGGATTCCGGGTACCAGAGACTGGATTTCCATCTTTGTGTCCTGATTTATAATCTAGGTAACTTTCTGGGACTGAAGCTTTGTCCTGAACTCCACTCTGCTTGCCTGGGACCTTAATACCAGCCCCTTCTGATTGGTTGGGTATTGCTTCCTATTCCCTCATGTGTGGCTGATTCAAATCTGCAACAGTGATGATGCTACCTACCTAACTTCAAATAATACTTCTCATAGGACCCACAGATCAGGCCCCTCAGAGATGGTAGCTTAATGGGGAAGGGGACCAGGACTGCCATCCCTCATGGGCACTGAGATTTGACCTGGGAATATCCTCCCATTGGCTCCTTATCTCTTGTTTGTTTGTTATGTGCCGTCGAGTCGGCTCCAACTCATAGCGACCCCTCCTTGGGTTTCTGAGGCAGTATCACTATGGAAGTAGATTGCCCAACCTGCCTTCTGAGGAGTGACTGGCGGGTTTGAACCGCCAGCCTTCTGTTAGCAGTCAAGTGCCTTAGGCACTATGCTACCAGAGCTCCTCCTTATCTCTTAGGGTTGGTTTTTCTGTTTGTTTTTCCCAACTTCACCACCCCAAATATAGTACTTCTTATGCTGGAGTGTATACAGGTTAACATAAATGTATATAACTTTCAATGCCAGGTAAATA